TATTCTTTCTGCTATATATAAATGATTTACCTCAGTGTCTAAACAAAACAAAACCTCGATTGTTTGCTGACGACACAAATCTGACAGCATCGGGAGATTCTATAATTGACCTTGAAACTGCAGTAAATTCTGATTTGGAAAACCTCAGAAAATGGTTAATTGCCAATAAACTTAGTCTAAATGTAGCTAAGACAGAATTTATGTTAATTGGTTCAAACGCAATGATTAAAAAAAATTCTGATTCACATTTAAATGTTTTCATTGAAAATAAGCAAATTAAACAAGTTAGCGAATGCAAAACTCTTGGAGTAATAGTTGACCAGCATTTGTCTTGGAAAAGTAATTCCGAAAATATATGCAAAAAAATAACTGCAGGAATCTCTGCTATTCGCCGAGTCAAACCTTTCGTTGACAAAAATACACTCATTTCGATATATAATGCTATTGTCCGCCCATACTTTGATTACTGTTGTGAAGTATGGGATGTGTTTGGTGAATCACAATCAAAACGACTCCAAAAACTTCAAAATAGAGCTGCTAGAATTATCTTGAACATGAGTAATGACGTAAATCATTCCATTGCTCTACGTGCATTGGGCTGGGAGCCACTCAAAAACTGAAAGGAAGAAAGCTAAGGCAAAAATGATGTACAAAGTATTAAATAAAATGGGTCCTAAATCACTCACCAATCTTTTTTCATACAAATGTGAGAAAACAAACTACAACCTTCGTGACATTTCAAGTGGTCTTAGTTTACCAAATCCGCGTACTAACAACATGAAAAATAGTTTCATGTATGACGGAGCACACCTTTGGAATTCTATTCCAAAGGAAATTAGGGAAAGCAAAACTCTTTCATCCTTTAGAAATAAAATTGCTGCTCACAAAATTGACATAGAGTAAATTGATGTAACTGTAAATATTCTAATAACCTTCTTATCATGTAAATAATTTAATATTCTACCTTTTTAAACTTAAGTATTCTAATATCTCCATGTAACATTTTTCTATTTTTGCACACGCCCCCCGTGGAAATCAGCTTCGGTTGACGGGGTCAGCGTGTATAAATAAAGTTTCTATAACTATATATAATTTGTAACAATTTGGCGTTGCATTTGCAGTGCCAAACTCGAAACATTCATAATTTGCAAAAAGGAATAATATATCTGGATTTTAGTAACGTTTTTGCTTGTGTTGCCACATTGTAAGTATTCAGATGAACTTGTCTTATCCAATCTGGATAAATATGCGTTAATAATTTAATTCCGGCATTGGCATTATCCTTGAGATCAAGTTCATTCAAATTTCTCAAAATTTCATATTATCTGTCCAGGGTTTCATTTTTCGAGTTAACGGCATTTGTTGCTCAAATTAACAGAATTTTTAAGATATTTCCTTTACAGATAAATTGCCTGCTAATACCCTACTATATTTTAATTTTTATCAACATTTTAGTGAAATTTCGTGCCGAAAATGCAGTTTTATTGAATATTTGTTCGAAAATTGACTAAATAGAATATTTCACTTAGCTTTAGAACGTGTTATATATAAAAGCGAGTAGAAACTTAGAAATGTCTGGGAAAATTTATGTCTTCGACGTACTTTATAAAGTACGGGATTCTGCAAGATTTCACCCCCAAAATGCTTGAAATCACATTTCAGGGATTCTAAATTTTAAAATTTTCCCTGGGGTACATGCCCCCGAACCCTCCTAGAGCGTACTTTATAATCTTCGGAATTCTGCAAGATTTCACCCCCAAAATGCTTGAAATCACATTTCAGGGACTCTAAATTTCAAAATTTTGACGGGGGTGCATGCCCCCGGACCTCCATAGATGGTCTCGCGCCTTCGGCGTTCGCTTCGCCCCCCCCCCCAAAAAAAAAATGAAGGTCTGGCTACGCCACTGGAAATTACCAACTTTCACATGTGAAATGGATTTCATATATGAAATTTTTTTTTCCATATGTGAATTGTATAACTTCATATATAACTTGATTTTCATATATGAAAATTCTTATATGAAATTCCCAAATTTCAGTTTGAAATGGATTTCATATATGAAATTTAGTTTTTCATATGTGAATTGTATAACTTCATATATGACTTGATTTTCATATATGGAAATTCTTATATGAAATTACCAAATTTCACATGTGAAATGGATTTCATTTATGAAATTTAGTTTTTCATATATGAAATTAAAATTTCATATATGACCTGCTTTTCATATACGGAAATTTAATATGTGAAAAAGAGAATTTCACATATGAAACTGAAATTTCATATATGAAATTACCTTTTCACATGTGAAATTCTAATTTCATATATGAAAATCTTCATTTCATATACGAAATTCCAATTTCATATATGAATTTTAATGTGAAATTTTTGTAAGGGTGCTCTTTTGTCCCGCCAATTCATGCGTGGTCTGCCGAGCTCTATACGAGGAAAACTTTGGCTCACAACCCCACACCAACCTTAAGCGAGATGCTAAGTTTTGTCCAACGTTATCGAGCGATCGAAGACCGCGCGCGACGTCCCTGCACATACGAGCGCAAGCGCATCAACACACAAGAACACAGCGGACATGGACCAACTCGTGGGTTTAATGACCGAACATGGTAACTCCACAGAAAGCGCTCGAAGACCAAGTGGCCCCTTCTCAGCAGTTATATGCCGCAGCAACCAAGCAAAACGAACGTCCACGACCAAAAGTTACGTGTTTTCGATGTGGAAAACAAGGCCACATTGCGCGAGAGTGCAGCAGTTCAAGCCAACGCCAAGACCGTTCCAACGTGCAATGCTACGAATGCGGGAGATACGGACACTTCGCCCGTGAATGTGGGAACTATGCGCCTTTAAACTTCCAAGGGCCGTCTCGAGGAACCACAGGCCGGTAGACAGCCCCGAAACAAGTAAGAACTGTGACTTTATTAATAATTCTACTAATGATTTTAATGATAGTTTGCCAGAACATCCATTTGTTTCCTGTCTCATTGATGGCGTACCTGTCAATGCTTTGTTAGATACTGGATCAATGAAGTCTTTTATTAGCGATAAAGTTCATAATATCTTTGATTTTGACTGCGGTCGATTAGATAAGTCGCAGTCACAGCGTTACGTTGTACCTCAATTACTGGAGGGGAGTTAAATATTGCAGGAATCGTATCTGACGAGCGTGACCTTTTCACGTTCTAAACATAACTATCATAGTTCTTTTCTTGTTAGTAGTAATATACCGTATGATTGTGTTTTGGGATGGGACTTTATTACGCAGCATAAATTAAGTGTTCAAGGGGATTTCTTGGGAGGGCGAAGTCGTTATCAGTTAGTGGGGACCTATGGGAAAATCCCAATACATGCGGAGCATCCAGCAATGAAGGTGCAATCGAACGGAGTTGTGATTACAGAGGCCAAATCACGCGTTGTTTCCCCCAACGAAGGGAGCAAAACCAATGCGGTACTTGTGCAATCTCAGTTGAAAGGTGTCAATAAAGTAATTCTGTCGGAAGGAGTGGCAATTCCGGCTCGATCGGAAATGGTAATTGAAGGTAAGATACAGGCGAAAGATATTTCACAGGTTGACATGATATCAGCTAGTCAGGCAGATAGTGTTAGACACTTACAAGGATTACATGTAGCTCATTTAGTTGTCACCCCTGTTGGTAAAACCGTACCAGTCCGAATAGCTAATACTACAACGGAATTTTGTCCCATACTTGAGCAGGAAGCCGTTGCCAACAATAAATTTCCGGTTAATTGTAATGCCGTGCAAGCAGATAATCTTGGGCAGAAAATCGATTCCCGTTTAGATGCGGGTTTAAGTAACTCCGAAAAACAACAAGTAAAACAAGTATTAGGCGAGTTTAAAGAACTATTTAGCGACACAATTGGCCAAACCAACATTGCACATCATAAAATTGACACCGGTGATAACCCGCCGATTAGGCAACGTGCCAGGCGAATGCCATATGCATTTCGCGAAGAATCTAACAAGCAAATTGAAGACATGTTAGGTAAGGGAATAATCAGTCCTAATACCAGCCCATGGGCTAGCCCAATTGTCTTGGTTCGCAAAAAGTCAGGCGAATTACGTTTTTGTATTGATTACCATAGACTTAACCAGATTACACGCAATGACGCACATCCTCTGCCAAGGGTTGACGATTTACTTGACTCGGTTGGGAATGCGAAGTATTTTACCACACTAGGCCTCAAAAGCGGCTACTGGCAAATTCCCGTTCACCCTGATGACCGTGAAAAAACTGCCTTTGTCACGCATGGCGGCTTATATGAATTTAATCGTATGCCTTTTGGCTTAGTAAACGCGCCTGCAACATTCAAACGAGCAATGGAACTAGCTTTAGCTGGCCTTACAT